GTTTATTAAATCTCTAATAAATATCTAATAAAAGTATGACATGCATATATTTTACTGTGCGTACAACAAGAAACTTTATTTAATATATTATAATTTTGATAACATTTTGATAACATATTACTAGATTTAGATTTTTTAATTCTTTTTACAATAAAAATATATTATTATAATTATATTATACGATTTGTACATTCTCCTTACTCTGATTTTAGTAATCTTAATTAAGAAGCCAAACATTAAAAATTCAAAACTATCGACAACATAAATTATACGTATTATATTGAGATATATTTACATGTTTTGCAATTGTTTTTATAGAACTCTCTTCGTCGAGTAAAAAGGAATAGCAATATTTTGTATTCTCTTGCAAATGAGTCCTTTTGTAGTGCATAATATTTCTTCTGGCACCGTCGCAAAGTGTCTCTCAGTCTGCGAATCCACCTGTTAATTACTATTATTAATATAATGACTCACACAGAGCCCTACCTCTTGCTTACAAATTATACTTTCAAATGGACCCTCATAACTTGAACAAATTATTGGTAACTTTATCAAATATTTTAACTTGATCAAAACTTCTCCCCTTTTTTTTTATTCGTCAAATAATATCCCATTTTCTGCTATTTAATTTGCACCTCGGAACAAACTATCTTTGCATGACACGTCATCATCGCGGTGTTTGTTTTTGTCTGTCGCCTTTGAAATTGCAGCTTGCTCCTTTTTCTACGGTGCATTGCATCACAATGCGGCGATATCGCCACGGGTTTCCGCCCCGCTTCTATACACAGGAGGAACAAAACGATGGACAGGGAAGAAGGGACGAGAAGAAGGGAGGTCGGAACGCGGACCCTATGCTGGCATAATGCGATTATGCATAAAGAGCGAAAGAGAGATGGATATGGAATAGGGAGAATTAAATATGACTTAAAAAGGCATTAGACTAATTTTCGCGCGTACTTCTTGACTGTTGTGTTCAAAACTTTTCAATTTGTATAAATATTACTCGTACCTCTAAGAGTCCGAGAGTTCCTTCTAATGCTCAAGTAATTAAAAAGTAGATCTCTCTTTAGGATACAGATGCGTAAAACCTTAAAGATCTATCTTGAACATTTAAATTCTAATGCTTAGCAAAGTCTGAATTCGCATCGATTTAAAATCATATTCAAAGTCATATTTTGTTAAACACTTTTTTCTTTCCGTTTATATTATTTATAACAGTTTCACTGTATGAGTTTGACATTATTTTGTTTTAATTCCTCTATTTGTCAAATCTTAGTTATTTTTACGTATCGTTGGTGTTATCGTAATGCAACTTTTTATTGTTCAATTACTTAATAATTGTATCGTAAAGATTAAAATATTGAGATTGAGACAATTATATAAGATAAAAATAAAATATAAATAAATAACTAAGATACCTCTTCAGTTCACGCATTTTCTCCAAATTTATGAATTTAGATTAATAATTTACAATAATTTATAAACATTTCGATTATCGTTTCAAAATGACAAAGAAATATACAATTTAATTTAGTCGTAAGTTTTACTTTTGACCTTATAATCTGTAAGCTTTCACTTTCGTTTGACACTTTTAAGAATAAAGTACTAAATAAAGTAATAAAAATAATGCACCAACATCGTTTCTTTCTAATTTAAACAAGATTACATCTTTGCAAAGTAAAAGTAATTAATTTTAATTAACGATCCCTTGTTTCTTTGCATGCAATTACAAATACACAGAAAGCTATACAAAATAAATTACAATCATGACATCAAGCCACAATATAAGCTACAGATACAATATGAAAAAAACGATAATATATTAATTATAAAAGCTATAATAAGTACGAGTAATTTTAGGAATTACTTTTCTTAATATTTCGTAATTTTATCAATCCGTTTGAAGGCACTTGCGAAGAGCTTAGTCAATCAATACGATAATATAACAATGAGACGTCCGCTTTAAAGCGCCCTGCCACCCGCGTCGAGGATGGTACTGAGATGCAAAGGACGCGTGCAACACGCGTATCCGTCGGCTTTGCCGCGGATCGCGTCCGCGTGATATGCTCTGTCGCCCTAACAAGATTGACCTCCCACGAGCTGCGTCCGTGTACCGAGGGGGGGTTTTCGCCAGCGATTAATCCGCACGGTGACTTTCGTTTCTATCAAGAGAGAGAGAGAGAGAGAGAGAGCGCGTGAAGCCGGAGAGACGAGGGGTCCAGCTGTCGACGGGGCACCGGCTGCGCGTACAATATCGCCGCGGCTTTTGGGGGATTCAAGATGACGGCTCTTCCGTCTCGCGCGTTATGCGACGAGGGGTTACTGCCGTTACGACGGTGGCGGTGGCGTCAGCTTGCGCGTAGAAGAAACGGCTGACCCCGTATTCCGCGGACGCGGCCGCCGCTAAGGAGAGACGCCGCCGCCGGCGCGGCCGGTGGTGGCGACCGACTCGGGGGAAAAAGTCGACCCTCGCGGATTTATTGCGAGTAACGATTTGCTCGAAGATTCGGCGTGGCCGCCCGCGCGGTGGGGAAAGAAGCCGGCGGCGGCCTCCTTCCATCGGGTGAACAGCTTCTAATTAATATTATTCTTTCGCCACGGTTAACGCAGTTGTAGCTAATATCACGCTGCTTTTTCGTTCTGTTCGCGTTCGTTGGAAAGCAACTTCCCGATTGTCGACCTGAACAGTATTTTTTATTTATATTTAATGATTTAATGATTTTACCTACATTTTTAATCCATGTTTTAATGTATTTTTATCTATATTGTGGCTAAGCTAAATTGCATCTTTTTCCTACTATCTATGACCTCTTTCGAGTTTCCTCCTGGATCACAGGAGGAAAAATTATGATGGATAAAGTATATTTTGACAGCAATTTTTTGGGGAAATATAAAATGATAGCAATTTGTTTTGACAATCGTTTTTTTTTCAATTGGCCAATCATCTGTTAAACGATATTACGTGATAATATATTTCGATTAGCTACTTTGTGCATCAGATGAATTTGAAATGATCTAATGCGGGAGATAATTAATTCGGGCGTCGCTGTTGTGATGTCACATTATTTTATTTTAATTTACGAATCTCTCAGGCTAGATTTACATAAAATATGATTAATCGGTATAACGCTTGCGCATATAATACATCTGTAATGCCGAGAAAAATATATTGCACGTATTTCTACATCTTCAAGTTTCAACATCTTTACATATACAAAGTGCGCGAACGCTGCTCGCTGCTCGCAAAGGAGGTGTCAGGGGGAGGAGGGGGCACAGGTCGCGGGCAGAGATCCTCATCTGTCCGCCTCGCAAATCGTGATTTATCGAAATGGCCGGAACGAATCCGGCCTAATCCATCACCACGACTTTTCTCTCCCCCGTGGAGAAAAATCTTCTACACGGTCACTTCTACGGCCGTCCCGTTGTTCGCGACACGTGTCGGCACTTCCGACGCTCTTCGCGATAAATGCACGAGACACACACACATACACACACACACACACACATAAAAAAAATGCTCAGAATCTGGGATTGGATGACAAATAGTAGGTGAATTTCAGGCGAAAATTGGCCCGGGAGATAAGGAGAGAAAAAAAGAGTTAGTACAAGCGGAGAAGCTTGATAGAAATGTATCACCAAAAATCGCGTTGAAACTAAATCTATCCTTCGATAGAGGCGAAATGTCCCCTAAGAAAATAACATTTTGTTTGAGAGTCGCTAAATTAAAAAAAGCTTCAAATAGAAAGATATACGATAAAATCAGTGTTTTTCGTTATTGGCAATCATTCTCAATTTGTGAAAAGTTGTACGCTCATCAAATTTATTAAATTTAGAAAAAAATATATTATCGCAAGATGCCATTATTTTTTCCTACATTTGTACGTTTTTTAATTAAATATATGCTTGTAGTTTTTTGCGAACATAAATAATGGCACGTGTGCTACTATTTTATATAGCGGTCACGGTTTTTATATAGCGGTCACAATTTTTATTTTAAAAAACTTTTTGTTATATAAATATTAAATAAAAAATTTGGAATATATAGCATATATGTATGTATATATACACCTGTACAATATATACTTGTAGACAGCATGAATCTCGCTTATACCATTCTTTTTTTTCAATCCTAATGTTCGCGTGTTGAGGGAAGAGACTTGCGCGCGTCCCACGTTCGATCGCACGTGGAACGAACGACGACAAATTTATGGACGTATTAACGGCGGGATGTCGTTACAGGTGGCGATAGGGGTGGACCTGCGAATGGTAGGAAGTGATTTATAAAAGTACACCGAATTTCGATCGTTGCACGTGTGCCAAAGCTCTCGTTTTAGCGGCCACCGCGTCTGTTTTCGGCCGGCTCTACCTTTCGTTCCTCCTTTTTTTTTCTTTTGCAATTCCATCTCGCAATTCATGGTCTCCAAAATTAGTGTCTGCGTGTCGTCGCCGAGAGAAATTATTATCTCGATGCATTCGTACACACGAGAGAGACAGAGAGAGGAGAGACAGACATAGTGCGAGAGGGGTCCTTATATTTTGAGATCATGCGGTGTAGCGTGATTGGACGAAAGATGGAAAATATTTGGAAAAATAATTAACGTCAAATACGTTTACATTGAAAATCATGCGAACAATACGCGTGAAGTTAGAATACACTTGCAATAAAATATAGACAATACATTATGTTCTCATATACGCATACACGGGAGTATTTCAGAAGAAACAATTGTTCAGGTAAAAAGCGTCAGTTCGTAATCAATCTGACTTTGTTCCCGAGTCACAATCATTTTTGTCTTTAAATAAAATTCTGAAAAATCGATAACTCGAAACCTATTCGAAGTGATTCACTTTAAATAAAAATAATTTTGAAAAAAAGACAAAAGTTGTATGTACAACACAAAACATACGTAACTCGTAAGCAGACTCGAATAAGATAAAAATATTCATATAAATTATTTTATTTGTACACTAAATTAATCTCTAAATTTTGTTTGCATATTATGCAAAACGTCCTGTATAAAAAGATAAAACTTATTAATCTAGATAGTGTCAAATTATATAATGTCACAGAGTTTAGATGGATTGCGATTTTTATACGTACGATATGTGCGATTTTAATACGCACAAATAATCAAATTTTATATATATATTCGTATGAAAATAACCTGAATTATCTTAAAAATAATTTTAAATATTCCTATATATATCACACTTACTTTCGTGATATTATCTAAATTGATAAGTCCTTTCTATAAACGAACGTTTGTATTCTTAATATGCTCTGAAATATATAAATAATAATAAAATGCTGCGCTTTGCAATAATTATCTACATATTTTCCAAAGTAATAATCTTGCATCCAATCTCGATACATCACTTTTGTCATGAATTTTATAAAACAGCATGAAAAAAAAAATATATATTAATTTTTTCATATCTACGTTAAAGTAAACTTTTTTGTAATAATATTTTATACTAATTTCACAAAGTAGAGTCTTTGCTTTTGATAAAAGCGAAAGGTTTCTTGATGAGATTAAACTTAACTAAAAAAATGTGACTAGGTCACAAAAATTACTGAAGCACTAACAGAGAACGGGAAAACTCACAATGCACACAATTATAAATATTTGTATCGTCAAATTGCGAGATTGCGATGATTTCGCCTACTTCGACAATTATATGTCAGATGCTGTAAAATGTATTACGAAAATATATCAAGTCATGATGTCTTGGTAAACGATATCAATCTGATAACTCACATCGTCGTACAAGAGAAAAATAATGTCACACGCCAACGACGGACGATTCCGTCGTCGTCACGTTGAATTTCCACACAATTAAAGCGTGTGCTTCAACAGGTAATCCAATAAGTAACGATTACTTTGAAAACAAAGTACATAATGAAATCGGGGAGGGGAGGGAGGGGGAGGAGATTTAAACGGAACTAGTTTTTGGTAAGGGTTTCAATTTGGTGATCAGCTCGCGCCGCTGCTCGTGATACTCCTGAAAGCACGGCACGATGCACAAATTGATCTGGCATTCGGGACAATGATACTTGGTCTTCCTACGGAGTATTCTGCCGTGGGCGTCTATCGTGTTCCAGCAATGATTGCAACCTAAGGCTGGACCCTGACGCAACACCGGACAGTGACCTAATCGCTGATCCCCCATGCTTTCGCGAGGCTCTCTGCTACTGCTCGTCTGTATAAGTAGATTATTATATATTTATTTAATTCCTTTGATAAGACCCGTTGCAATTTTAAGGCTAAATAATAAATTGTCCAAATATACAGAGAAAGAAAAAATTCTGCATCAGTCCGCCACAGCCCGCAATAAAACAAGTTAAAACCAGAATTCAATTCTTCGAATATTAATCATTTAATATTTTGATATGGTGTATAAATTAATATTCAAGTCGGGGTGTCTCTTAAATTTTTTACATCCTCACATATACTATAAATTTGACCGATTAACGTCGATCTTTGTGACCCTTTGACTAAAATCGATCTTTGTACCCTTCGTATCCTTGTAATTAAACTATTAATGTCTGGATGTACGAAATAATAACTTCGGCGATTTCTTCACGCGAATGTTTGTCTATTTGTCCGTTCGATCTCGATTTAACGAAACGCGCGTCCAAGATATTTTACCTGTGGCGACGAGGAAGTTCGTCGCAGCTCCGTCGTCTTCACTCTCAATCCGCCGGAAATGCCGCTACCGCCGCTGGTACCCAGCTCGGAGACGATAGCCGACGTGGCCGGGGTCGGGGCTTCCTCGCATCCCTCTTCCTCCGTCTTGAGGACGGGCGCCGGCTCGATCACGATCGAGGGGCTGGTGGTCCTGCCGGGCAGCTCCGGCTGCGAGTGCTGCCGCCAGTACGTCCCGGACGTGCTCGGCTGCTGGCTGGACAGCAGCGGATGCGAATGCTGCTTCGTCAGATAGGGCTGCTGCGGCACCGTCAGCAGGTTGGGCGACGTCGTCACCGTCAGCAGATTCGGCTGGCTCACCAGCATGGTGTGCGGCGGTGGCGATATACGGGACTCCTCGAAGCTCCTCGACGTCTGGGGAAGATTCAACGTCGGCGCGGCGTGATGAATCGAGGTCGAGACAATGTGCGGCGAGAAGGAGCCCGTTTCGCCGTCCGGCGACAGGTGGCTCGGCTCCTTCTTCACACGCGGCTGCCTGATCAACAGCCGAGTCCTTTTCGTTACTTGCGTCTGCTTGCAATGAAGAACTATAATAATAAATAAACAGACTTTAGTCGTGGCAAGAAGAACCGATGTATTACCGTTTAGGTATAAAGTACCTCGTGTTAAGATGTCTTTTTTATTCTTAGTTTTCATTCAACAATAAAGATTGATATCTTGAAAATGAATTACTGCGCCTTAGTGTTGATTTATTCGGAGAATACATTAACTTTATATAATGCTTAACACAAAAAAATTAATGATTAAATGATTCAAATAATTGTTCAATTATTACAGATAAATATATATTACAAGAACAATCATAAAATTAAATCGTTTTGTGCTTTGATTACTATAATCATTTCTTCTTCGGATAATTATCTTCGCAAAGAACTGATGGATTGATAATAGCAACGATAATTATAATAATATGTAATAACATATAATCAATTGTTCGCTCGGATGATTAATAAAGAAAAAAAAGGTCGCAAGACACTGAAGAGAAGTAAGCAGGACTCTCATTCTGTTGCAAATTGTTAGAATAATTTTTATTCCTTCTGAATTATTTTTCAATCGTTTATATAAGGGGTATAAATGCTTCTTAACAGTGCAATTAACAGCTAATTTTATTATATATTATAAACTAATTTCTATTTAAGTTAAATCACTCAAACGTATATTCGCGCAAAAAGCAGCTTTGTCTTCGCTCCGCAGTAACCGAACAATTGCGATTTCCAGAAAGAAATAATGAGTAAGAGATACAAATTCAAAATAATTATCTTATATACGCCCGTTCGCATTCTTTTGTGCTCAATACATGCATTACTTTGCTGATCCAATAAGTCAATTATTAAATATGCATAACAAATAGTATAACAAATAAGAGAAAGGTTGTTCCTGCAAGCTAAATTAAGAACATTAATCTTCACAAAATTCGTATATATATATATAGTATGTGTATATCCTACATTTATTTTACAATTAATATTAAAAAACCAATTTGTTTTTGTATCAAGTATCTACCATATTTTACACACCGTGGGGATGCAGGGATAAAATTAGACTAATCACATTATTACAATTAAACATAACAGAAAAACAGATGTAATAATGTACATATTTTCATCCATTTCTTTTTATGTACGAGTACGCTTCCTCTAAAGCTGACCATATCTCACATTAAATTTACATTTTGCTTCGAAATGATCGAACTATTCTCACGAAGTTTGATTTGATCTGAGATATTTCATACATCGATTATATAATTGCATTTGTTTGCGTCGTTATTCAGTATAACGTTTTCGTCAATGTTTATTAACAGAAAAGCAGATAAAGAAACGTAAATACCTGGGAAAAAAATAATAATATATCAAAATAATACTCTATTACAATGCGTAACAAAATATATCTGAATTTCTTGTGTACAACATAAAAAGCACAGAAAATTAAACAAACTTCCAAGTATAGAAGAAAGTATATAGAAAATCTATGATGTTTCTCATATATTTATCAACATAGCAACAATTAATATATATATTATATATATATATAATTGTAATACATGTATTGATAAATTATCTCTCCGTGTGTGCATCGTAATCTTATACAATGATCATTTCTGCAATGATCTGTACCAACACACACGTGCAAATACAGATAACGCAATTTTTAATTATATGCTTCGTAATTTACTATGTACAAGTATTATACGATAGACCACGATGATCAGCGAATAATTAACGATAAAATTTTTATTATTTCCAACGTTGAATATTGTGTGTATAAAATGATCAATAATAATAACTTCATTTATAATGTAGTAAATGGCATATTGAATAATGATAGATGTCAACAATTTGTGGCAACTTTATTAATAATGCACTAAAGAAAACTGAGGATCAAAAATCTGTCGTCACATTTATATGATTTGAGGGGATCAAAGAGGCAAAAGTTTATCATAAAATTTTCGGTGTAATAACAGTTAATATAAACAAAACATATGGATAAAGTTCTTCAAAAATAAAAGGACAAGCTTGATCAATAAAATAATTGTTCTAGCAACAGCAACATTGGGGGAAATGATTCAAATTGCGAGAGAGTGATAATTGATGAAATCACGAAATATCAAAAGTAAATTTAAGAACTTCATTACGCAACATTGTAAAAAAAAAACAGCCAACGTGAAAACTAATCCAAAATTTATCATTAATTATTGACTGACTCTCGTACTCGTAATCGGTGCAGTGGCAAACGATTTCATTATTACCAATACCGTAGCATTCTAATTATCGAAGCAATGAAATTGCACTGTTTCTAGACGATACCGAAATCTTCATTCTAATTACAACTCGTAATGTCTCGTAATACGTAACAAAAGACTAAAAACTACAGATAATAATCTGCTATAAATATCAGAAGTTGCTGACACGGCATATCGTCGCTATAAATCTGCTCATTTATCACATTATAGACATTCAGCTCGGATTATAAATCGCGTATCCATAAGGAGAAATTAAGAGAAAATATGAAAACAAAAAGAAATTCAAATAACTTAATATCAAAACAACGATTGTGTCCTATTATTCACTGACAGTATTAACAATGTGACTAATGTCTGTACAATATGAAATAACAGGAAATACTTGATTTTTCGCTAACGCATGCAATATTGTTAATAAATTTAACTTTTTTGATATCTTTTTATTGTTTATTTGTAAAATATTTATTAAAATATTCAAATTCACAAAATTATTTGAATTAGTTTTACATGATACATGACAACTTTCGTTTTCTCTGTATTAGTATTGTGTGCTTGTGAAAATGAAACGCTTGTATTAGTGCTTATCATTAGAGTATAAGCACTAATACAAGCGTTTCATTTTCACAAGCGCACAATACTAACACAGAGAAAACGAAAGTTGTCATGTATCATGTAAAACTAATAATAAATTTCAAATAATTTTGTGAATTTGAATATTTTAATAAATATTTTACAAATAAAAAATAAAAAAATATCAAAAAAGTTAAATTTATTAACAATATTGCATGCGTTCGCAAAAAATCAAGTATTTCCTGTTATGTCATATTGTACAAATAATTTTTGCATCAAGCAAAATTAACTTCTCTTTTTTTATACATCATTTCTTTTTAATTATCTAAATTTCTTTTAGCTAGATAACAAATAAAAAATTATATTGAAATATAAGAACAGAATATTTTAAATAATAAAGAATATTTAAAATTTGTACTTATAAAGCATATATTGTTTGCTATATTACTTTGTCATTTAATGCTGTGATTACTGAATTTGTCCAGTCGCAGCAAAATTTAATGACAAAATTACAATGTTATTATAATAAAATTTGGTGACAAAATTACGTCATTATTTTTTCGCAATGCTGTCGCAGTATGGTGCAGCAAATTTTGAAATAGCTAATACTGGCCGTGAATTTCGGAACGCAATCAATATCGAATGTATAAGATCAAAGCTCAAATAATTTTCTCTATGTTACAAATGATTTAAAGAATTTGAATTCAATCCTTCTTTAGGTCCTATTTGAATCTCATTTTAAAATATCAAAAATGTTTTATTATTGAACTTTTGAAATCAGATGATTTTAGCTTAACGATCATATTTGACGCTTATTTATTCTGTACATTGCAAATTACGTAACTTTTTTAAAACTATGTATTTTCTTTACATCACAACTGATTTAACTCACTATTCTGTGCATAAAAGTATTAATATCTAATCATCAAAAAATTAATAGTTTACAATATACATTATTAATATATTTTATATTTTTTGTGCCAATTTTTCTGGCAATTTGATCCTTAAAATATTATAATAAATAAAATTATCTAGATTTCAGTATATAGTGCAGAAGAAATAAGATATCAGAAAGAATTTTTATTTTGCTTTGTTTAAAAAAAAAAATCGTTCTTTAGAAAGATGCAAGTAAAAATAATTCTCCTGTTATAAATATCGCAATTACATATGTTGCAATTTTCTCAATATTTTAGCTATAATTAGAAATTCATCTCTGACAAGTGTTTTCAGTCTCTTTTGTCGAAACTTAACACTTTATAACTCATTTATCTTTTCACGTTTGAAAAAAATGTAATATGAACAATTAATTTTCAATTTTCAAATATAAAAAAACAATTTGTAAGCAATAGGATACAACATTTGCATATATGTACAGAATGTTTCAATACAATAAAATAGTACATTCAATTAAAGTAAAAAAATGAAATAAGACTTAAAAATATACATATATGAATGTGTGACTTTAATGTCATGTGCGTTATAGAGGATTACAATTTATAAGCTTGCATTTTTGATAAATTTACATCAAAATTTTCGGGAAAGATAAATTGAATTCAAAATACTTTGAAAAAATCGTCTGTAGCTAGAGAAAAATATTTGACCGAATAGATCCTATACAATTAAGAGATCTCGCGTCGAGTGTACGCGACACGGGCAGCGAGAAATACGGCGAAAAAATCTGAGTATAGCCAAGCGGGGAGATATCTAAAAATTAAAACGTTCGACTTTTCAATGCCTCGCTACTGACATCTTGTTACTGACACAGGTAGCCGCGGTAGGTTTAGTTGTACACGAGGAGAGGAGAGGGTAAGAGGCGACAGAGAAGAAGTGACACTACTTCTCAAGCTCGTCTATACAAGCGACTTTCCGGATAGGATACAGTTCACATGGCATTGTAATTAACGCCGTGCAGATTGATCGGCATCGTGGAGCTCGGTAGGGTATAGTCCGTATGCCTGTCAATATAACCACTCAGCATTGTGTGGGGGCTGTGGCTGGTCAGCATGGTATGCGTGCTATGTGTGTTGTGTGTGCTGTGCGGAGTCGTGGGCGGGCCCATGGGCGTCGGGCTCTGCGAGTTCATGGGCTGCGCCGGGGGTGCCGCCGACGCCGAGGGCGGCGGCGAGGAGTTGACCTCCTGCTTAACGCGGGACTTGAGGCTGGGCCGATTGTTCGGGTAGCCGCGCTTCTTGTACTCGAGCCAGAGCGTTCGGTTGTTCACGCCGAACATCCTGGCCGCCTTGCAAAACCCTATACCACCGTAGCGCACGGCGTCGAGCGCGCGTATAAAGTTCTCGTCTGCCTGCGGATTAGTCGAGCGCTTCCTCTTAATCGCAGTCTGCGGGCTGGCGCAGGGGCTCTGGCAGTTACTGGGGCACTGCGTCGATGGCGAGGGGCCGCCCGACGACGCGTGCTGCAACGTCCCGTGGGAGGAGTTCGGATAGTTCGTCAGGGCGCAACTGGAACCAGTCGTGCTGGTACCAGAGTACTGATCGCTGATGGTCGAGGATGCTGTTATTTCGGGCGTCGTAAACGCCGACGACGCTTGGATCGACAGATTCGTTTGACACGAGGACAGAGCGAAACGTGTCGGATGATATGTGTGCTCCATAATAGTCCATTGTAATCCTGTAGAACAGACCGATTGATCTTTGGTCAGAGCACAGGAATTATTAACCCGCTTTGCGTTTACGGCAAAGGTAAATGATTAAGTCGGAGAAAGAGAGAGAGAAAGAGAGAGAGAGAGATAGAGAAAGAGTAATATGAGAGAGTAATATTATGAAACATTACAAAAGAAACAATAAGCAAAGAAATGGTCTTTAATTCCGATTTATATTTAAAGATCCGTCTTGACGTAAGAGTATCAAGAATCGTCCAATTCGTTGATAATTAATGTACTCCCACACAAAATTTTTTTTTCACTTGCATATCACGTCAAAAACTTCAATTCAAAAGATGCAATTTTTACATAATTATACTATATTAATTAACGTAACTTGAACTATGAGTAATAACCAATAATGTCGTATATCGGCATATCTGTTCATATAAAACAAGGCATACATAAATTATGATCTAATCAAAAAGAAAATAGTTTATTCTATGATATGTAGAAAAACAATACTAAGCTAAGTAAGCGAAAGATGATAGATATTAAAAATAAAATCTTGTGAAGAGACGATATATGAGCGTATTAAGTATGGAGTTGCGGCATGGCACAGATACATTTTTAAGCACATCATTGTTTATACTGAAAATACTGATATATGTGTACGGCATTTGTTACATTTACAGGGCAAAATAAGGCACACATACATAACTCCCGTTAATGTCAAAGGCCCGATATGCTATTCCCTTCGGGAAATATAACATACTGTGTGCTATGTATCTGTGTACCATGGTGATCTTTCTTTCATGAATGAAAAAAAAAAACAATCTTTTCTTTGCACATTCGCATTATTAGAATTTCAATTCCTGAAATTTCGCTCTATTTTCATGTCAAACGTCTGTTGATTCTCCTTGTGCAATACATTTAAACGCATCTGTGCCAGCATATAAATGTGTGTAACTTTCGCTTATCGACATGCAATTCAAATACCCACCACAGTCAGTATGCATAATTCAAATAACAATTGTCGGAGAGATTTGCTTAAAGGGGAGGTGTCATGCAATTTGCAAAAGTTGCCGGGGGGGAACATTCTGTGTGGATTTATACTTTACAATCTACCAAAAGAGAAACTATATTATTAAACCTATAATATAGCTAAACATTCACGCATGACATTTCCCATTAAGTTAAAAACAATATCTTCAAACTTTCATAACACTACGCCTATGCACACAGCCAACTAGATTACTAACGCTGTATTAACCAACATTGTTATATAATCGATAAAATTTTTTATCTAACTTATTTTTACAAAAACGGAAAAATTAAATATTTATTAAGTAATCAGACTTGAATGTATATATTCTTTATTATGTAACTTTTTCTCTTTTAATTTGAATCAAAAAGGAAATCTTATGAAATAAATAGTCTAGGCATCATATATCTTCAAAATATGAAAATAGAAAAAGCTTCTATTTTTATTTTTGATATATATGTATATATGAATTTATAGTATAGTCTTATCTGATCGTTTAAACGTATACAGCTCAATTATACGCTTTAAATATCTGTCTAATAAGGATAAGCATTAAAGTTTTTGAAATTAATTTTATAGAATATAATTAATAATATAAATAGCGCATTCTAGGCAAAATATATGTCACATAAAAATAAGATACACAATCAAAAAACATGTAAAATATTCAGGGAAACATATCTAAAAATCAATTTCCGTCTACATGTGTGAAGGAAAACTGCTTCAATTCACAGCCATGTACAAAATTATGCATGCAGCACAAAAAAATGTAGTAAAAATATTTGCCTTTATAGTTTTATATATTAATTCGTAATACTGATTTTTTTTCTCTGTATATAATATGTAGTGTATATGTAACTTACATAAGTTACTTATATAAGTAATGCTAATCTGAATGACTCTCTCCTTCAAATATTTTATGGAGATTGACATCATGAAACAGCATAAAGCATATGTCGATATCTTACCTTGATGAACAGGTGGTTGCGAAGAAACAGAACTTTGTCCAATGTTTCCTGCCGACTGTTGACTTACATCTTGAATAGAACCGTCACTTTGGGCTGGCGTATTAGCAGAACTAGTTTCCATATTACTCATCTAAAATGTAAAAATATCACATGTTATTGAAACATTATTCTACACCTGTACCCAGCGTCTACAATAGGAGTCGTAAATCTTTAGTCGTAGGAAATTAACCAATCATAGTTAATTATCCTTCTCACATTCGACTGTGATCGATCAAGTTTTTACAACTAAAGACTTACGACTGCTATTGTAGACGCTACATTATAATGCCAAATCCTAGAAACTTGCAATTTATTTAAACATTACAAAACATTGCAATTCATTTAAAAATAGTGATTGTAATATAAGAGTACGTATTTACTTACAATCGATATCTGATCTTCATCAATACTGCCTTGAGATTCTGTGCTGGTGTTTACTGGTCGCCTCAAATTCTCCCCGCTCTCTTGCGACGCAATGAGGGGTTCAGGTTTGACGATGTTAGTAGCCACTAATGTGATTTCATTCATTTCCTCTGGCTTGTCACCGGAGCCGGACGTCGAGCCAGTAGAAGACTTCCTTAACCTTTTTCGGCGAAAAGAGGGAGACAACGGAGACGGGCTTGGCGAGCAGGATTCGCCGCGATCCCCTCCGCCTGTTTCACTGCTTCCACTTGGCCATTTAGTTAATGACGCCGTGTGCATTTCCGCGAGTCCCTTTATCTTCAAGCTCTCCGCCGTCTGTCAAACAAGCAGCGTTACTCATCGAAGATCAACAAGGCGTAAAAGCAAACTGTTTGATTACTCAGACAAAACATTTTGGCTTTACCTTTATGATGGATGGCAATTGGTCTTGAGATATGTTCACTTCTCCATAATACATAAAGTCCACCATAATCTTGAGGTCGGAAAACTTGATGTCCTTGAGTATGACAATAGGGTGCTGACATGGATTCACCGTGAACAGCGACTGAAAGTACGTGCTGCATGCTGACAGGACGACTTTGTGAGCCTGTATCTGCCTGCCTTCGGCAGCGAGAGTGACGTCCACTAGAGTCTCATTGTTCAGCAAGTTGGAAAACACCGAGATGAAGTTTGGTTGATGATTGTTCCATCGCAAACAGAACTGTTGCATAGACATCGTGACGACGTAGGGAGAGTCTCTGGTGAACTTTGACTGCAACGTGAGAGAAAAACACACTTAACATTAAGCGAGCACACATGTAACGTAAAATACTACAATGAAATATCACAAACGTGTCACAACCAATTTGACATCTTTCACAGGAAAACTGTCTCCAGATATATCGCTCAACACACAACTCGATATAAAAAACGTTAATTTCACAAAATGGAATAATTCAGAACTTTTTTGTGCGTAAAATATTCACCAACTTACATAATATTATGTCATTTTATTACGCAAAGAAAATGATCTCGAGTAACAAAAAAAATTTTTTCTCTTGCCAACGTAATTGTGGATGAAACAACGTCTTGGCTGAGAAGCAGTTCATGGAGATGACATATACGAATGCACCGCGAATAACCGGATTGAGAGGAGATTCCTGATTAAGGAGTCACGCGAGAGCGCGACGCAGAGGCAGGTGCGAAGTGTCACGCGAGGCGACATGTCGTCGCGCCGCGTCAAAGTGCCGACGAGCCTCGGCGACGACGCCGCCGATGTCGTCCGAGGCGGACGACATGACAATAAACAACACGACGCGTGACAGGCTCGGCCAGGAGATTTCTCTGTCTCTCCGTCTCTCTCTCTCTCTCTTGCTTCGTAGCTTCGCACGTAGCTGGAATGAACGACGGATTGATGATCGTGACAATGATCGGTGGACGATGATGCTGGGAGAGAGAGAGAGGAAGAGAGAGCGCGAGAGAGAGACAGAGAAAAAGGGGAGAGAGGAACGCTCACTTTTGGTCACAATACGCCTCGTCGTCGTTGTCGCCGTCGCCGCCGCGTTACAGACGAGAGGCCGGTCTCGAAGGGACGACGCACCTCGTCGCTGCCACCATGAACCCCGCGAAATTTTCCACAACAGACTGAGCGATGACGCTTGTGTAATTCGCGAGTGACGTCATGGGCGAGGGAGGAGGATTTACGCGACGACGCCGCGACGACCGCCGGGGGGGAGACGAGACGAGACGAGACGCGCGCGGGCCCGAATTCCGCTTCGCCGCGAAAGGGATACCGTGCGACGGATACGTCGGGCACGCGTACACACACGCGCGCACGCACACGCACACGCACACGCGCTGGCACGCACGCACGCAGGCACGCACGCACGCAGGCACGCACGTCACGCGGGTGGATTGCGTGCGATCGAAAAATTTTCGCGAGATCTCTTATCAACGTGCGTCTCACGAAATCTAACTTGATCAATATAGCGGGCCGACCGGCGTCGCCATCTGGCGAGCGATCCGCGTAAACGCGAGCGCGCACAGCGGTTTTTCAAAGGCTAGGATATACCTAGCCTCTCGTGAATTTGACCTAAAAATATATATATTCGAGAATTTTGTTCTAATTATAATTCAACTAATTTATTAATTAATAGATGCAGACGTACGTTTGGAAACAGAGTTTCAACTGTTTTTTATGACTGAAAATTAAAATTTAAAAGTCGATTATTCTTTTTTATATTTTATTGTCACGTCTTGTATATCTCATAATCTTAAATTCTCTTAATCCTAATTCTTCGAGTCTTATTCACGTATTTCTCGATCTGCACGTATTTGACATATTTTATTGGGTAACATAAAATTTTCTTTTAATTCAATGTAATTATATAATATTATATCCGTATATATTCAATAAAATAATATTAATATATTATATCAATGCCTCAGCTTGTAATTTACAATTAATTCACTCGATAAAAACCTAATTTTAATTTTCTGGTTTCTCAGATTTTTTTTCTATAAATTAACAACTTACTGAAATAGATTCTGCGATCTGTAAAGAAAGGGAAAGAATCGCGAGTCGTAGAGATAAATCGGCGAGTGCCGAAGGCGAGCCGAGTGACGTGGGCGAGTGACAGCAGCGCCGAGGCCGCCGAGAGTCGCGTCGATAAATCTCGGAGCGTACGCTCGCGCTTTCCGACTCCCGATATCCGGCCGCCGCCAGCAACATCCCCGCGTGTATGTATGTACCGATTACTCTCTTCCCCGATCACGTCGTCGGCGACGGCGACGGCGAGGCGTATCCGCGAAGGCGCTGCCGCGAACGTCGAACAGGTGTCGTCCCCCACTCTCGGCGAGAGTCGGGCCCTAACCTCGGCGCGCTCATTTGCTCCGCGCACACACCGCTCCGCCGCATCGTTCCGCGCCGCGCCGCGCCGCGCGCCTCGTTATCCGCGCGATGCCAGGCGTATCCTCCGTTTAGTGCGAGACGACGGACGTCGGCGATGCACGCCCGCGAGCTTCCTCCTGCACCTGCGTAGCGCCGTTAGCACTGGGTCACCGCCGGAGAGAAGAAGGTGCGTATCGACGGGGACGAGGCGGCCGATCAGCGTGGAATCGACCAGCCGTTTCGCGAGACGGGCGAGAGAAAGAGAGAAAACTAGGGTGGGAGAAAGAGAGAGAGAGAAGGAGAGAGCGCGCGCGTTACCCGCGGCCGTCTCTCGCGCGCACGCTATATCTACGTCCCGCCTGCTCCATTCTCGCGATCGGTCCGACGATGTCGACGGAACGGGCTGGCGAACCCTAGTCGGTACCGGAGGCGTGTAACGATCGGTCCCGTCCCGTCCCGGCCTAGCCACGCGCCGCGCTCGTTCCGTCATCGTGGCGCGTTTTCCGCACACAGGCCCGCGGGTGAGTGGCGAGCATCTGCGTTCTACACGCGCGCACGGGGAGTCCGGTCGGGACCGACTCCTGGCAGTTTCCGCGATCTCGGAATTCCATTCGCGCGGTTAGGGTCCAACTGCATGTCGTTATCGCGCCGGGACGGTGAAGTTAGAATAATGAAGTAGTGTCGTTCCGATATTCGCTCCAAATCCCGCAGACCGCGGGAAGGTTCATTCCTACACGAGGGAAAAGCCCCGGCACGGCCTCCTCCAGGGTGTCTGTGATCGTCGAGGGATCTGTATTGGCGCTGGTCAACATTTCCTAGCCGAGATAACACGGGCCGCACGCGAGAGAAAGAGAACGAGACAGAGAGGAGAGAAAACCGCGTGAGTGTTCGATACCCATACGTATACCTCTCTGTGAAGAAAGCGCGTGGAAGCGCGCTGCCACGTCTTCGGGGCGTCAAACGCGTGGCGCGAAGAGGATCCGCCGCGCCGCGCGTCTTACGTGTCGCTCTCCCGCTCCGCTCCGCTCGCGCGAATGTATGCGTGCGTGCGTGCGTGCGTGCGTGCGTGTGCGCGCGATGCGCGTGGATTCCGCCGGCGCGACGTGGTGGATCGACATTAGCGGGATCGACGTTGGCGGATCCTCTTTACTCGCCGCCGCGAACCGGTTCGCCGATCGCGGCCGTGATCCTCCTCGCTCCGTGTCCTGGGGATGGATGCGTAACGCTCGGTCGCGCGTGCCGAAAAAACGGACACCTCTCGACACCCGCCGCGCCGGTGACGCGTCTCGCGCGAGTTCGCACGAGGCCGCCCCGGTGGCCGCACGCGTGCGGGCTTGAAGCTTTTTAGGTCTGCACGATGTTTGAAAATCGCGAGAGATCCCGGACGAGGAAAGGCGAAACTTAATCGTATTGGTCAATTGGCTGAATTGTTCAAATTGTTGTTAATTCCTTTCTCCGTCCGAGACCTCTCCGAGAGCATCGTGAACGTAAGGCTTAACCGTGCCACGAAGTAAGCGCCGCGCGCGACAATTGCACGCGAGCGAGCGAGTGAGCAAAGAAGGCTTCTCGCTTCGGCTTCTCTCGCGCCGCATGGAAACACGGCGCGATCCCCGATTCCGGGAGGATTACGAATTCAACGCTCGTGCTGCTCCTTCCGGAACTCTTCTTTCCCGGAGATCTAACGTGGCCGGGATCCGTTTCCTGGTACACGCCCCGCGAGAAACGCACCGGTCGCGGAACCGGACGAGACGTGCGGAGATGCGTGTCGAAATCCGACAGCCAACTCGGCCAGCCCAGGTTCCGAAAAAAATTTTAAATTCAATTCCCTCGCGAGCTAAAATACGTAAACAAGTGAGACCCGCGCACCGGTTTTGCGCCCGAAAGGTCAGAGGAAAAACTGGAGAAACTAATCCTCGAGTCTAAAAATTCAATTTTTAAAATCCGATGTATAAATTTTATACGCACGCGTGCAATATTTTCCTTGCCGCCGGTGGCCGCCCTCAAAAGGGATACTTGCACCAAAATTTGTTTATTTTTTTTATTTTTTTCTAAACAAATGTACTTTTTTAACTCCAAATAACGTGGAATATAGAGAGAAATCCACTTACAATTAGAGAGATACGGTCAACAATCATTAAGATAATTATACATTTTATTTTATGAAGAATCCCGTAATTAAATTATCAAATCTTCCATCAGAGAATTTAGTATGAACAGGAAAAGATCCCAACAAAAATTACAAAAAAAAAGTTAATAGAATTTTGTTAACAATTCACGATTTTATAGAATTAATTAATATTAATTTATTTATTATTATGCCTATTAATTTGTAACCATATAACATTGATTCAATGGAACACGAAAAGAACGATTCTGCTGGAAGGTTTTACTGGATACAGATCTAAAAACAATTTTGTCAAAAACTCAAAAATGATGAGTGAACCGCTGTAAAATATTTTAATTCTACCAGTTTGAATTTCCAATCAAATTATTTGGACGCTTCAACGAAATTATTTTCAGCTCCGTATCCAGCAAAATTTTTAGATCTTTCAGTAAAATCGTTCTTTTACGTGACATACAAATTAAAATCAAATAAATTCTATCGAATAGAAAAAAATGATCAAATAATATATTAATATCTGTTGAATGATAATATCAGTTAATCGATTTAAAAAAGATTACTCGCGTTTCCTTTATTTGGGCTTTTCCTCTTAAGAGTTACGACATCCGTGGGAAATACGTGGGACACATGTATACGTATGTATACCATTATTGTTGTTTATATACGCGTATAGACGTCCAGCATTACCGCATTACTTCGCATACTTGTTCTACATTCACCGCTAAGCATCGTCGTCCGGTTTCATTCATGTAACACGTTCGATCTAAGCGGAGAGCCTTCGAGCGCTACTTAGAGCCACTTCACTAACTCATTCTGCTCGGAATCGGCCTCGCCTTATAAACTCCGCAGATCGATTTTGATCTCGATTTACCGGATACCCTTTCCGTATACGGAAAAATTGTAAAAATATTACTTCTCTTCTTCTCTCCGCGCGTTTCTCTGCCAACCGTGAAATGACATTGGCTGTTCCAATTTTCTGGTGCCACGTTAAAAAAAATAAAAAAATAAAAAAAAAGAAGAAAAAATACCGTCCCTATAATACCTGCGCGTTCGCAGGTGATGACCAAAAATAACTTGTAAGCGATAGATATTGGAGGCTGATACCAGCGATACCAGCAGTTGAGGAATGCGCTCGTGAGATGCGTCGCGCCAAAATCGATCTATCGGAACCAGGTCAGCTGGTACTGAGGTCTCCATCCCACGCTGTGCCGTGAGCTAAAAATCAAGTTAAGCAAAACAGACGGCGGGACGTGGTTTTGCCGGAACCGTTCATGCCCACCAAAGAGATAGCCCGAGACATAAGGAGAAGGGGGAAAAAAAGCAAAACGCTCCGCTTAAATGTTTGCGGTTCTTAATGAGGATCACGGAGATCTGTCCGGTCTGTCTTTCGCGCGATCCTCTCGTTTCAGGCTCGAGAGGGTTTACGAAGCGTTTAAAGCGTTATAAATTTTTTTTACATCCCAGTTTAAAAAGGGATGCAAACGCAATTTTCCCGCGCTCTGCAATCTCGTTAAAAAAAAAAAAAAAAAATGTTCTGAGATCGAACCGGAAACTGAACGCTGTAAACTGTGGTTGGGCAATGATTCTCACGTGTCAGTGAATTCGAAACGGCGCGTGCGATTGCGGGCCTGGAAATGTACAACGACGTAAGATACCGTGAAGATTTTTCATACCTCTCGCGCCTCTCGTGCTTTCTCTGTAATATATGCAAACGAACGCCATTGTCCTTACTCCTTATTCCCGGCACTTACTAATTCCCTTTCGTTCCCGTTTTCATGTCTGCGATCGAAGAGCCCGCCAGCCCGGTTCCAACGGGTCCCAACTCGCTATCTTTTTCTTTCTTTTTTTTTCTTTTTTTTTTTTTTTAAAGAACTTACGAAGAACATCACGAAGAGCTCCAAACTTAATCTCCCCAGCTTCAAAATTAGTTTTCGCGAGTCCCCAAAAGCAAAAAGGTGGGCTTGAAGCGATGTCGAAGCTGAATGCTTCTTTGAGTGAAAGCATCCGGATTTTCGGGCGTCGCGCGCGGTCCGCCGCCGTTCATTTCGTTCGATCGCCAGCGTAAATCGAAGAGAGAGACGACGCTCCCCGGCATACACAAACCGACATCGAATTCGATTGTCCGGTCACGGACATTCCCGCACGTATTTGTCCGCGGTTTCTTTTTCTCGCGTTTCGTGCGCGGGACTCCCCGTAGCGGGAGGAGTCCTACTACTCTTCGTCACCGTCGTTGCCATCGTCGCGACGATGCAGCCCGCGGAGTGCTGTTTTGAAAGAATGCGGCGCACCTGTCCGTCCGTTATCCGTCTTTCAGGCTCGTATAGAGCACCACAGGTACTCGCGATACACCG